TGAGACACTGCTCAGTAGTCGGAAGTGGAAGACCTGAGGGATATAATGGTACCGGAAAGATGCAGCATTGCTTGCCTCGTGGCAGACACAGGGAGACTGCCGCAGACCTTGGTAGATAGATACGTCCAGTCAAAGGTCAGCTAGCTCGCTGACGAAAGTTTTAAGTTCGGACTGTTGGAGCACAACCGATGTTATCTTACAAGTTATAAATAGAAGAGCTTCACGAAACGAAGCAGCCTTTGGTACAGTTTTTCTTATATCGGGTTCCATTACGTAGCTGAGTGACAGTAACTTCGGATGTTCAGCGAAAAGTAAAATTGAAAAGTTGCCTGTTATTCTTTAATATCCGTACGTCTGTCCGTCAGCGCCTAAACTACTGGACCGATATTAACCAAACTCGGAATGGTTAGGTCTGCAGTGAATTTTTTGTGTATGGGTTTGTCTGCGGTTTGGATCATAGGTGCTGTAATGACAGGGGAGACATGTGACGCTCTTTCAGGGCGATTTGGCCACGTGCTTAAACGGTGCGTGAATCTTCGAGCTTTGTCATTTTCACGTGGAAAATGTTTATTCCCTTGTGAGGTTGAACTGAAATTTTGTTTTGCAAGAACTGTCTCTCAGCTTGGTCGTAAATAACAGAAAATTAAAAAAAAATTCCGCGTCTGCGAATTAACTGGCAATCCTTAAAAACGTTAATTGGTGATTAATGTTATCCGGTCAAATTTGCATGTCGTCATTTTCATGTTAGGGAGGTTCATTTGAATGCTCTTGAACAGCCGTTACCAAGGAAAAGGTTAACGTGGCTACATCCCCCGGTTTCAAACAAGATGTTGATTCGGTTGTTGTAAACTATACCCGTGTGACACTGCTTACTTACTTACGGTATCTAGAAGGGGACACAATATTATTAGACTTTTTTCTTTAAAAATGACGTTTTGAAGAATGTAGACCTAGACTTTTAAGTGAAACAAGTTCTGACGTATTAAGATCTTTATTTCGGTTCAAGAAAGGACTTCGCGTAGGACCTACGTAGCGGTTAGCACCCCTGCTTCGGGTTTTGAAGGTCCCGTGTTCAAATCTAGGTTTGGAACCCGATCTACAAAAAAAAAAAAAATATTTGTCCGCAAAATCCGAGGAACAACGAGAATGTTCCTCTAACATGTTTATGTCGGTGCATAAATAGTGGTTTTGTTACTGAATGTCTGTGGCAACACGCAAGAGGTTCACTCGTAAGTGGAACGTCGAAATACAGATGATATTCTCTGTAGACTTGTCAGTAGGTGGCCAGCGTTTCGGAGCAACATACTATCGCCATCTTCTGGGTTGAAGTGCGATGCTGGGAAGCGGACGGATTTATAAAGGATTGGAAGAATGGAAAGCTTAGGGAGTGGGCCAATCAGGGACGAGGAATGAAATGGATGCCGGTTATGTTTACCAATGACTGGCCTTGCGACGCCTCGCTCTGTGTTCTGATTGGTAACAGAAAAAAATCGTGCGACTTTTGATAAAACCTAAACTAACATTACAGCATCAGAAGGCAGGGGAGTGAGGGGTGTTGTACTTGGTACGTAGGTCCTGTTGTGTAACTTGTGTATCTCGTCGTTATGTAAGTCTTCTAATTTTGTGAATTTGTAATATAATGAAGCATGTAAACATAAATCGTGACTAGCAGATTCTTCCGCTGCGTGGTCCATGTTTATTTTTGGAATGAAGAAATTTGGTTTCCTATTTGAAGAGCCCATTTGCCTTAACTAACAGGGCTTGCACGGTGAATTACTTCACACACGGCAGCATTACCTCGTGTGCTCATTTATTATTTTCCCTCATGCGCGCTACATTCCCTGCCCATCCTCCTTTATTTGGTCGTCTTGATATTTTACGATCAGTACAAGCAGTGGAATTTCTCATTGTGAAGTTTTCCGTCTCTCATTAGGTCTAGTCGGTAATTGTCTTTAGACATTTGCTGACTTGTTTTAGTAAATTATTGTAATATTCGATATTTAATACGCGGGCCGCGCGAGATACATCGGCGAGTAGATTTTATTTCGATTTCTGCTTTATCCGAGCTGAAGGGATGATTTCTCGCCGGGTTAGACGAGTTCGTATGAGCAGGTTTTATTTTGGTGGTGCCGAAGTAATTCGATCGTAATTTTGCAAGTTCTTTGAGGACTTTGAACCGTAATTGAACGTTTGCTTCGTACAGGAGGCAGTGGCCTACCTTTTATTCATGGACACATTTGCGTAATCACAAAACTAGCGACATGTTTTGGCTCTCGAAACGGTCTTCCGCAAGGGGAAAAAAAAATGTAATTCCGTATAATGTTTGGTGCGGTTAAATAAAGACTGATGGTTATTTCTGGGACACGAAACGAGTTTATAGTTACCTTGTAGTTTGTGACGCTGTGTGGAATGTTTCGGATGAACTAACTGCCTCCATCTTCAGGAAGGTATTTCTCCGAAATGCCGGTGCCTACATGTAGGTCCACACGACGTCCCAATCCAGAGGACCCCCATGGGAAACTTACTTTATGAAATCGTTAAATCTCATATAATAGACCTCTTATTTGTTCTATTTTGTAAGATACGGTCTTCGGTGCAGTGTAAGGTTTTGTGGTTGCTTGAAATTTTTTTTTCCTGGTGTTAATAAGCAAGGTCGTGGTGCGAGAAAGCTGACAAGACAATATAGCAATAAATGTCACTTATAAAAAGTATATTTGACTTAGAAATGAGCTGTGTTTAATGCGCGCAGATAACGTAGTGTGGGAGAAAATTCTCTCCTGATGATACGATGACAGTGGCAGGTTCCACAGTTATCAGGGGGGGGAGAGATCTGTTCATTTCTGCCCCCTGATTTAACAAGATATCCATTATCTGTCATTCATGAACTCTATAGCCATCTTGAGTGGCGTTTCGATATCCTTTTGGTTTGCAAAGGAGTCAGATTTTTGACAGTGTGTTATTTATCGTTATTTTCAAGTTTATAACCGTTTTTGTCTGTAAAATATACTTTTCCATTTTCCGATAAATATTTAGTGATGTTCCCTGTACCTTGTCCGATGTGGTACACCACTCGGCCCTTCTAAAAAAAATCAATTTTGCTTCAGTTTTACAAATATTTTTTCTGAAGTTCCAGTTGAGCGTGTGTAGTTATTTAACCCTTTGGATTTCACAGCTCGTCTAAATATTTAAGAACTGAGTCCGTACCGCAAAGAAAATACAACGCTTTACCATTATAAAGTCAAATTTTTTAATTATTTTCAAGAAGACAATCGCTGTTTACATAACCCGTTGGTACAAAACGCAGAGTTATTGGTTGTTGAAGCCGCTCGTACTTATTGGTAGGTACCAGTAGATTTTATAAGGTTAACTCAGACTGTGCTGTTTTATCGTTCGTTTGATAAACATGTCAAGGTCATCCATGGTTTATTGCTCACTGCATGATATAACAGTTGGATTAATCGCAAGGCTCTAAGGTCAGGGTAACTCGAAGACCATGAGTGAGATTTATCGTCCTGATGATGGATGCAGTACGCAACTTCGAAGCACCTGTCAACGTGTACGGGACGGCACAGCGCGATATCCCAGAAGATGGTCGTCTTTATATTCGTCGCGTACGAAATAATTTTACACAGCTGTTGTAAACGCGTGTATTTTTCCGTCGTAAGAACAGTGTTTATTTCCGTATTAGTTTGATGCTTTTAATGCGCTGTGCTGTACAGATGTTGGACGAGGTTTTTGGTAATCCGGTCTTGACGAGAAACGGAGAGGCCATCTTGGAAAAATGGCTGGAGACAGCCGAGTTAACATTAATATATACGGCGTAGAATGTGTTGCAGTAGATATTAATCCGCGCACTAACACAAGGCTTGACGTTTGCTGGTGTTATTACTTGGCGCCGTTGCATGTCGCCAGGTAATAAAGTAGAAGTGTTTTTTTTTTCTTTTTCAAAAATAAACTGTTTTCAGCCTGTGGATCGTCCAGCTACCATTGGGCGAATGCCGTGCATTGATCTCGAAATGAAGTAAAACGTTACGTTTCACTGTCCGGATCGTTGGTTTTTGGATTTTATCCACCGTCTGATGTTACAAAAAAAGATTGTATTTCATCATTGTCAAAACTCTTCAGAATCTATTATATTGTACTGATTTTTTTAAAAAAAAAATCAACAGCTGTTTGGCTTGTTTTAATTCTCGCATTATGAAGTCTTCAAAAGATGATAAAAGTTGCGTCATATTGTGATAAATATATATCTGTTTAAATCTTGTCAGTCTAATCACAATAAAATTTAAAATTCCTATTAAATATTAAAATATTACTATAATTAACATTTAAATATTTAAAATATATTATATCAAAGAAGTCTTCAAAGGCAATCAGCCGTTTAAATATGGAATCACAGTTCTACGTTTCGGAGACTGTATTTGTTGCCATCATCAGGGTTGTTAACAACCACAGCGCTACGCTAACTGTTCATCTCTATCGAATATTTTACTCTCACATCCGTGTGCACATTCATGGCGTTGTACTAAGATAGAAGAGAGTGCACGCTATGAAGTATCTAACGCGAAAGATTATGAAAAAGCTATGGTAATTCTGTTCTGTAAGTGTGCTTTGGAGGGGGATGTATGTTGCTTACGTATTCATCGCTTACGTGACGTAACAGTTCGTCTCATATATGTTATATGTAGAGATAACGTCTGGCAAAGCTTTATTACGTCCTGAAGTTTGGTTCAACAAGCCTGCTGCTGTTAGTTTTTCAAGGACCGCCCAGCAAGTCTTGTACTTCAAAATATTCCGGTGGCATACGCCAGAATTTTATCTGCACGCCTGCCAGGAGAGATCGTCTTGTGATATATTGCATAATTTTTTCTTCTTCAAAGTTTGTGGTTTTGTAGCGTTGTGTGATAGAACGTGCAGAATGGCACCAAAATCGAAACGTTTTAAGAATACGCGGATGTTTGATAAAACTCTGGATCCGTACCGTAAACTTAGTTTCGGCGTGATGTGCCAGAGTTGATACCGAAATGTGTAATAGTTGTTGATTTTTTCGCCGTCGATGTTTCGCGACACATGCATCAGAAGTAGGGGGAGTGTGGAGCAGTATGAGGTGTCGCTGAAGAATATTCTTGTTAGAAAAGAAGTGGATGCTGTGTCGCGGTGGCTTCGAATTGTGGACCTCGCATCCATCGGAACGCACAAGTCTGCCAGGTAACCGAACACATTCGTCTGATCTTGCATTACTTAAGGGTAAAGGGTTCTTTCTGGCTTGGTCTGTCGTTTAGTGTCTTAGAAACGAAACCAGTGTGTTTCGGGAGCCGGCTATGCTGCCGTCTTCAGGTGGAAATTTCTGTTCTCTTGGGCCCGGTAGGAGGGGACAATCACAGTCCCTGGACAGTGATTTATTTTGTACGATTTGTAATCGGCTGAAAATTACTAGGTTCTATTCTTAACAGCATAAATAACATAAAACGTTATTAAATCATGAAATTCGAGGTTCTCACGACGGTGGCGAAGTTGTCGACACATTGTTCTCGGTTTTAACGCCGTGTGGAGTTGTAGTCAAACTTCAACCCTGAAGATGAAGGCAGTGTGTGCCTCTGAAACTTTGGTATATGTAGTCCCGCACGTCGTTATAACCCAGAAGATAGACACAGACATCTTCATCGTTCTGGGAACCTCGAATCCCAAAATGAAACCGATTAGCGACCGGTTACGATATACCATCACGTCATTGTTGATGTTGACGTCATCACCATGGTGACGCGCTGCGAGAGGCCGGTTGGTCATTGATGTTGGTAATTTGCGGCCTTTGTGCGTGAATAGAAAAATGTTTTGTCCGAAGGTTGTGTGTGACTGTAAATAACCCAGCCGGTCGTAGTCAACGGTCACTTCGTGAGGGATGACACGTCATAATGACACAGTTAACTGTCTGCATGGGGCAGTCCTCAGGAACGTAACAGTTGATCAAGTAATACGTAAAAGAACTGAACTGTTATCATTTGGACATGTGGTAGGCCTCCTTGGATGAGGGGTCGGCCCGTCTTAAGGCCTGTACTTACGCGGTACAGAGAAACACGCATACGCATGCGCGCCTCGAGTGGGATTCGATCCCATGATCTTAGTGTTCGAATAGTCAAGACGGCACAACCACTTTGGTTGACAGTAATTAAGTAATTGAAACAAAAATTGCTTCCACTTACTCGGGGTGGCTCTGCGCATAACACATAGAATTCTATGAAGTACCTTCCAGATAAGTAAATAACTAGAGCATGAATGAATTAATGAGCACGGGTTAGGTTAGATTAGGTTTGGTTAGGTTAGATTAGGTTTGGTTAGGTTGGATTAGGATATGTTTGGTTAGATTAGGTTTGGTTTGGTTAGATTTGGTTTGGTTAGATTAGGTTTGGTTAGGTTGGATTAGGATATGTTTGGTTAGATTAGGTTTGGTTAGATTTGGTTTGGTTAGATTAGGTTTGGTTTGGTTAGATTAGGTTTGGTTAGGTTTGGTTAGGTTAGATTAGGTTTGGTTAGGTTCAGTCCCTGTCGGAAGTTAATGAACTGACTGTCCTTGGTAGCATCATTTTCCCCCTATTCTTATCAGTCCGAAAGATCGGGTAAAATCATCAACTACACAATGATAACGGCGTTTGGGATATCTAGTCTCGTAGAAGTTGGCCGACGCTTCGGAGATACTTAATGCATCCATCATCAAGGCGATTACTCATCGCTCAAGCTAAGCGTAAGCCTAAATCTCTCCGTCTCATACTTCGCAATGCTGTGTAACAGCTGTACTTAAACCAGCATTATCATTTAACTAAACGTCGTGGCAGATTCCTTCGTTCTTGAGACGTTACGGGTTCGGATCTCGGCTTGTAAACAGGCTGTCATGACACGTTTGTCATAGTTTTCTTCAGTCGCTTTCTGTAGAGGTCTTACAGCGATTGGGCCCTAACATTTTCCCAATATCTTGTGTGTTACAGACAGAAACTGACGTCGCCGAAATGGAACCGGTTCAAAGGAATTCGACTCAGATGGAAAGACAAGATTCGGCTCAACAACGTTATTTGGCGTTGCTGGCACATGCAGTGTAAGTAGACGTCGGTAAACACTTCGCGTTACGTAAAAAGAACCCCCGAAGATACTTGCACCCAGGAGCGCGTAATGATTATTTTGTTAATTAATTTAAATATGTGAATATGACGTCCCTTCAATTTTAACCATTTTAAAGCTGAGCGATAATTATGTTTGTCACCCGCTTTAACATCAAGGAACATAATTGTGGGTTTTATATGATTAGCAATGTAAGCACCGATTATTTTCTTAAACAGCGTTGCCCTGCTGATCTTTGTAATGGCAAAGTGTTGTGTTTTCTTCGCGGTACGGACTGAATTCTTAAATGTTAATAAATGAGTTTCGAAATTCAATTTCCTTGGTTTTCCTCTGTCTTCAAGCAAATGCTGAGATGGTTCCCAAGTTCCAAGTTGCCACTGCAAGCTTCTCATGCAGCCCTCCCGTTTTAAATTAATCAAAATTTACCACCCCTTAACGCCGTCAAAATTTACCCCCC